TCAGAAGCCAAGGTTTCGAGTTTTCAGAATTAAAGACTACTAGTTTGTGTTTTATATTGAGTCTATTATTTCACCAGGAAAGTAAAGTCTAGATAATCTCAGGGAGTTTATTTTCGTTATTGGCATATATATATATATTAGTCTAGATAATCTCAGGGAGTTTATATATATATCTTGTACTTGGTTAAAAACTAACTTTATAGGTCGAAAGCAATCTCATTATTGTATTGAGTTTTTTCTAACTCATCAATCTTGACCATCCGTTGGGTTTAACAAAGTAATCGCAACCGTTGGATTTAACCTTTTTCCTTTTTTATAAGCAGTGTTTTAAAATATGCTATACGCTAGCCGGGCGATGGATCACCGTATAGCGTATAGACGTATACGCGGACATTTATACGAAGTATATACCATATATATTTTTGCATATTTATACAAAAATATTTTGTTTTAATAGGTAATANAAAAAATATTATCATGAATTCTATAAAAAAAACTTAAATAATTAACATTAACATAGTAGTTTTAATTCAAATAGTAAAATAACATAGTTGAAAATTNTTTCAAATAACAAAAAATAGAATTATATCAATTATACTTTTGAAAAAAAAGTCAAAAACATAGTTTTATTTGAAATATTTGAAAAATATACATGTTAAAACTGTATATTTGATCATTTAGTTATCGCATATACAAAGATAATTTTTTTCTCATTTAAAAATACGTATAGCATAAATACGGTACGGCCAGCCACTTTATAGCGTCTGGACGCCGTATACGCGGGCGCCTGGACCGTATTTTAGAACACTGTCCATAAGTAATATGCTGATGATGGAAACCTGAAACCGCAACTTACGTATAGATTGATTTTTTTTTTTTAATTAGATTATTTTGAATTTTGTATAGGGATGATAATTTGTTGTATAACACAAAAAATATTATATCTAACCAAAACTCTAGATCTAGTGGCTAGGATTTGTTGTTTTGGTTAGATATTTATATATATATTTTTTTTTGTGTTATACAATAAATTAACCCTTTTTGATATAAAACATTTTTTCAGCATAATTTAACACACTCATGAGAATTTTTGATCACTAATTGTAATTGATATGAAACCGAAACGTACCAATGTTGGACTTGGGATTAAGTTGGATCCATATAGAATGTTGGGGTGAAATGTACAAAGTTGATAAATATAAGGGGCATAGTTGAATTACTTGACTTGTTGGGTAAGTATCTTAATATTCTACAAGTTATTATTTTCTCTCAAATCAGCTAATTGCTCGAGAGACAATTCTTCTTCTCCGAAGTTGGGTTCTTGTCTGATCAACTAGGGTTTGTAATTCCGATTTCAATGGCCGCCGCGATGGTTAGTTCGGCCGGTGGGTTACTGGCAATGCTCAACGAACCTCATACTTCCTTGAAACTCCACGCTCTTTCACATCTCAACAAATTGGTTCATCAGTTTTGGCCAGAGATCTCCACTAGTGTCCCAATCATGTATTCTTTCTCAACTATTTTTTGTTTCTTCCTGAGGTTTTTCTTTATTATTTTAGGGTTTTTATTTCACTTGATCTGTTTGATTGCTGGATTGGGATTTGGATAGTTTTTAGGACTCTTTCTTTTTCTTGGTTAAGGTATTAAGTTCCATGTTCTTGGTCACTCTTAGACTGAGGTCATAATTGACAAGCTCTATCGAATTCCTGTAGTGTTATCTAAGTTAAGGATGCTCTCTTACGGACATGATGTGGAAATTTTGTTCCTTTGAAGTTGTAGAGGCTGAGATCTTGCTTGATTTGTACTACTTGATAGCTTCAATCTGAGACATTTTTTTGTTTGTTTGTAGAGAGAGCTTATACGAAGATGAAGAGTTCGATCTGCATCAAAGACAGCTTGCTGCGTTGTTGGTCTCCAAGGTACAGTTTAGCTTTTTGTTTAACTTACATGATGACTGGTTGTTTAGTGCACATGTCAGTGGAGGAAAGAGTGCATCTTTCATGTATACATTATGGTTATTTCCCTTAAAAGCTAGCAGATAGTGGTAGAAGTTCAGAGCTTGACGTTCTTCCAATCAAGTTATGTGATTGTATTATAAGATTTGCTTTGCTTTCTAATGAATATTGTTATCTTGTCTTATTCAGGTTTTCTATTACTTGGGTGAGCTTAACGATTCATTATCCTATGCCCTTGGAGCTGGATCCTTATTTGATGTGTCAGAGGATTCTGATTATGTTCATACTCTTCTAGGTAAGGATTTTGAAGCTTGTTGCTATGCTCTCTTTTTCTCTTCACAGATCTTTCACAGTAGGCAGTAGTTCAGATATCCACGACAATATGTATAAAGTCAAGAACATACCAACCTGATTTGATGCAAAAATAAGCAAATAACTTTCACCACATATTGTCTGACCAATAAGATTTGCACATCCTTCTTTCTTTGATAAGATTTTGTTCGGAGAAAGGAATTATGTCGAGACATGATAAGATACTCATCGGATGCTTCTGTTTTTCTTTTCAGCTAAAGCAATAGATGAGTATGCTATTCTCAGATCCAAGGCAGCCGAGTCAAATGAGGTGGTGGACATTGACCCCAGATTGGAGGCCATTGTTGAACGAATGCTAGACAAGTAGGGGATGCCTAATTTATTTTATTTCCTGTCTTTTTAGTTATCCAATCTTCCTTACACGATTATTTTGTTTTTCAGATGTATCACTGACGGAAAATATCAACAAGCCATGGGCATTGCTATAGAATGCCGGAGATTGGATAAGTTGGAGGAAGCTATCACAAAGAGCGAAAATGTGCAAGGAACTTTATCTTACTGCATCAAT